TATAATATTATATGATTTTCCTTCATTAGCCTTTTTAGTGAGGAATAGTATAATATTCTCTAAAAGGCAATGAATAGAATCTTTAAAATATTCAAAACACTATACTATCTATATATATATATTAGATGATACTGTACTAGTTAAGTTTAGATCTAATGCTTTACAGTATAAGTTAATAGTTTGTTGTAGAAGGCCTTTCTTTTGGAGGCACTCTCAGAGATAAGCTATGCACATATTTAGTAATTTGTTTTTAGTTAGGATATAGTGCTTGATATCAGACCTAGAATTATAAGGTTCTCCATTGGTAGAATTCAAGGTATTTCTATTAATATATCTATCAGAGAAAGGAACTAACTAGCTAATATCTATAGAGGAGCAATTAGATATATTATTGCCTGTTTCTTCCTGATCTTAGTTAAAATTTTAGAGATCAATATCTATAGAGAATTTGTATTATTTATTGTTCCTATCCATAGTTGTGTGAAAGCATCTACTGCTGTTGAGGCTGAGTCAAAGTGCTATGAGTAGTATGTTAGTAGTTGTGTGTTTAGTCTGTTGGCAAAGAGGTTTACTTTGAATAGGCTCCATAATTTATAAATCATATTGAATATTTTGGGATTCATCATCTAGTCATGTTTGTTAAACTTCAAACGTGATGCATAATCTACTATTACATTGTTCATCCCTAGTAAGTGCTAGGCCTTCAATTTGATCTTTTTCTGAAGACACATTTTTTATATCGATTCTACTATTGCACTGATTTTTGGTGAAACTACACCTCCCTGATAATTGAGATATACTACACAGGTTTGGTTATCTGTCTTGATCAAGATTAACTTCCTTGTCAGGTCTTTGAAGGCTATAAGTGTGAACTGAATTGCTTTCATTTCTAAAATATTGATGTAAAGCTTTTGTTTCTTGTTGTTCTATAGACTATTTATCAATATATTCTCTCTGCTGATGCCCTATTTGATTCATGATGCATCTGTAGATATTGTAACTGATGGAGTATCAAATATTAGTGACTGATCATTTTGCTTTTGCAGATTAGTTTCCTACTACTTTAGTTGTTCTAATACTCTTGAAGACAGTTTTAGAGAAGTATTTCAGCCTCTTTCTTTTATTACTTGATTCTTTAATCTTATCGATTCTTATGACTTCAATCTTGTCAGATACATTGCATTAGCTATTGCCAACAATTTCTCTATTATTGATGCTAGTTTCTTGATATGAATTAGTTGCTTCTTTGCTATTGCTTTGTATTCCTGTTTTATCTGATTTATCTTTTTCTTTGGGAGAAGAATAGTCATGTTTCTTGAGTTTATTTTGAAACCTAAGTATTCTATAGATTGAGTAGGTTTTATTTGGCTCTTTTGTTCATTTATTACAAACTCTACTTTGGTGAAAAAATTCCATACAGTTTTGAAGTTGCTTTCTAGTATCTTCTTCTCTTGTGCCATTATCAACAAGTCATCTAGATATATGACAATACGTATTCCTTTTGATCTTAATTTCTTAATTACAGGTCTCAGAATTTTTGTAAATATCCTGAAGCAAGATGTTAATTTAAATAGAAGGTATTTGAAACAAAAGCATTGCTTCAAGAAATCGAATACAAAATATTTTCTTGCAAATAGATGTAATAAAATATGAAAAAAAGCATCTTTTATATCAATAGATACCATATAATCATTTCTTCTGATTAAATTTTTTACTGTTGTTATTGATTCTATTTTGAAGTAAGTATGTTTCATAAATATGTTTATTGACCTTAGATTCAAGACTACTTACTTTTTGCCATTCTTTTTGTCGATCACTAGTATGTTAGAAGTAATGCAAAGTAAATATTCTAGAATTTGTTATACTGCTTGTGATGTAATCAGTTTTTGGATTTCTTTTTTGATCATATTCATATCCGAATAGTTTTGAATATTTCTCTTTATT